CATGCCTCTGAGCCGAAGCAGAGAGGGGTGACCAAGACGGTGATGCCAGAGGAGAGTCTCGTGAGACAGGAGACGACACGAACAGGGGGCAGACTCAGGACCAGACCTGGACGCTCCAGCAAACACCCGACCCGACGAAGCGACTCTACCAGACTCAGTAACGGGAGGAGACGCAGTGGTCAGTGTGTACAGGCTCGACCCCGGCTGACGGGTGAACGTAGCCAGGTGTCGGCCTGTGCTAGCCTCTGTACAGTGCGTCACCCGCTGACGCGCAGGAGTGAACTGGTGTACACCCGCATCCTGGAGGTCAGCACCACTCACCAGGTTCGTAGAGAACGAGGGGAGGTAGAGACCAGACAGGGTGCCAGAGGGAGCCGCCGGACACGGGAGGACTGTGGAGAAGCGAGACAGGACAGGACCCCCAGAGGGGTCAGCCAGAGACACTGCAACCGGCCGACTCAGCGGTGTGAGTGTGGTGCAGTCCCGAAAGAAGGAGCGAGACGCCCCAGAGTCAAGGGTGAAGGTGAGGGAGGCCGAAGCCGACGTAGTACCTGAGAGCGCAGACTCACCAGTACCTGAGGACGCAGACACACGGGCACCTAGAGCAGCAGCGTCGCAAGCACCTAGGGCAGCAGCCTCACCAGGACCTAGCGCAGCAGTCTCAATGCCCGGATCGGGCGGGAAACACCGGTAACAGTCACCCTCATCACTAATAGACACAGCATACATGGCAGAGAGAATAGCATCAAAGTCAAGATCATAGATGGCAACACCCGCCCTGGACAGCTCGCCCCAGCGAGGGATCTCTGAGGCCTCCGGGAACTGGTGACGCCACGCGTCCGTCAGGCGGCCAAAGCAGCGCTGGGTGGGGTGGGCACCCCCACACTGCTCACCCGCACGGTCGCCGGTGCGCAAAACGTAGGAGCACGGACCAAAACCCCCACCCCGCTGACGCGCAGTGTACCACTCACGAAGCTGCTGAGGGGACAGGGTGTCACGACCACGCTGCTGCTGCTGGCACGAGCCACCACCGGAGCCACTCCTCTGCGAAGACCCGCGACCAGCACCACCGCCACCCCCGCCGCCTCCGCCGCCTCCGCCGCCTCCGCTACTGCCGCCGCCTCCGCCTCCGCCTCCACCGCCGCCTCCTCCGCCACCTCCGCTCCCACCGCCACCGCCGCCGCCACCTCCGCCTCCACTGCCGCCACCGACCCCTCCTCCCCCACCTCCACTCCCACCGCCACCCCCACTCCCCCCACTGCCGCCACCTCCACCTCCACCGCCCCCGCTCGCTCCTCCAGCGCCCTTGCCCCCCTTGCCCTTGCCAGAGCGGCGTCTCCCGCTAGGGGCAGACGCCACACCGACTGACTCAAGACCAAGGAGGTCGGCCGCAGCAGCAGAGGCAACAGAGGGCAGAAGGGGGGAGGGGGAACACCCCTCAAAGATGGGGGTGCGCGGGTCACCACGAGAGGCCCCTACAGCGACTATGCTCTTCTCGGCCGCTAGGAGGGACTTCTCGAGGAGGTCAACAGTGAGAGTGGTGGGACAGACAGAGAGAAAGTGGTCCCTGACTACGCGAAGGGAGTCAGGAAGGCGAGTGACTATGTAGTAAAGAGTGATGTACATGGGGGGGGGGTTCTTGGCGCAGAAGTCAGGAGGGAGTGCAGCTCGGTAGCGAGTGTCACTAGTGCGGAGGTGCGTAATGAGGTCAGCGACTGTGGGAAAGGCAGCAAGGTCAGGAAAGAGGTACGGTAGCATGAGACGGCTCAGTGCAGCAGTGGCAGGGGAGGAGTAGCGCGCAACTACAGCGTCGTACAAGGTCTGAGCACTCTTGTACTGACTAAAGTGCGCACGCTCGGAGGTAGGGAGGTGGCGACGCACAGCAAGACGTGCAGCAGCGTCGCGCGTGGCCCACTGGGAGCGAACAGTGGCGTCAGCATCAGCAGCAGGGGCAGTGGAGGCGCCAGAGGTGAGGTCAAAGAGAGAGAGGCCGTCTGCCCTATCGCACTGTAAGAACAGCTGCAGGTCATCTACCCAGACCTCAAAGTCAATGGCCCGACCCTCACCGTCAAAGACGAGAACACTAGGGGTAGCCATGACCCTAGACGACTAGCAGCGCAAACAGTAGGGTGAGGGCAGTGCAGTGAAAAGGCGCTGTGCTCACCAGACTGGGCAGGTCGGGCGGCCCGGAAGGAGGGCGGCGCGGCGGCTCGGCGGCTCAGCTGCTGGGCGGCTCGGCGGGTCGCCGGCTCCGCTGCTGGGCGGCTCGGCTGCTGGGCGGCTCGGCTGCTGGGCGGCTCGGCTGCTGGGCGGCTCGGCTGCTGGGCGGCTCGGCTGCTGGGCGGCTCGGTTGCTGGGCGGCTCGGCTGCTGGGCGGCTCGGCTGCTGGGCGGCTCGGCTGCTGGGCGGCTCGGCTGCAGGGCGGCTCGGCTGCCGGGCGGCTCGGCTGCTGGGCGGCTCGGCTGCTCTGCTGTCGGGCGGCTCGGTTGTGCTGCTGAAGGGCGGCACGGCGGTCAGCTGCTCGGCCGGGTGAGACGGCTCGGGCGGCTAGGGTGGCGGGCGGCGCTGCAGCAGGTGACGGGGCCGAGAGCGAGGTGGCGGGGCCGCAGGTAGGGTGGCGGGGCCGCCGAGTGAGGCAGCGGGGCCGCTAGGTAGGGCGGCGGGGCCGCTAGGTAGGGCGGCGGGGCCGCAGGTAGGGTAGGGCGGTGACGAGCCAGGCGGCGACGGGCCGGGACAGGCGGCGCACGGGCCACAACGGGCGGCGACGGGCCGGGGGAGGCGGCGCACGGGCCGCGACGGGCGGCGACGGGCCGGTCGGCGACGGGCCGCGACGAGCGGCGACGGGCCGGGACAGGCGGCGCACGGGCCGCGTCGGGCCGCGTCAGGTGGCGACGGGCCGGGACAGGCGGCGCAGGGGCCGCGTCGCACGGGACGGGCGGCTCACGTGGCCGGGGCGGGCGTCAAAAGGGCGGCGGGCGGGCCGCGTAGGGTGGCGACGGGCCGCTAAGGGCGGCGACGGCCGAGCAAGGGCGGCTCGAGGGAGGCCGCGACGGTAGAGAGAGGACCCGAGGCGCGACTCGGGCCTAAGCGGAGCGCGCTTCGGGCAGAAAAATTTTTCGATGGTGGGCCCTAGGATCAGTTCCCACTAGGGAACCTGCTCGATACCATGAGAAGAAACAAGAGTGGATGAACTATGAATGAAGTGGGTACAAGTACTAACCCTAATTGGGTTGTACCCCCTATGGGATACCCCACTACAGCCTACACAAAAGTATATGCTATATGCGTTCTGACAGCCTTATGGCTGGAAATTGAGAATGAGATGCCAGATGCATGGAAAATGGAACGAGACACCTAATGCATGCGGCATGGGGAATCGAAATCAGATGCCGCATGCAGAATCAGAATATTGGAAGAACTTATGTCAGATGCAAAGCAAATGTAACCAAGATTGCCACGATTGCTTCAACAGCTCGTTGGCAAATCATCCAGCCCGCCTGGCGCTCATGGCAGCCCAGGCGGAGAGTAAAGCGCCATGATGCATGACACCCCTCCCAACCCTGAATGACATTCAATCAAGTGCTGCGAAGCTGCTGGAAATGACCAAGCATCTCAATTGCTCATCCCTGACATCCAACGGACCTCACCATGCTATAGCTACCCAGTTTTGTTCGTCTCGATTCTTCTATCTGAACTCACATGGTCTTCTCTTCACATCCTCCCTCACCCTCCCCATTACTAACCTCTTGGCCAGACCTGAACTTCCCATTGAAGGCAGTTGCTGCCCTCGGGTTTCGTCCTTCGTCCGCCGACCCGTCGATGTTCGTTCGTTCTGGGCCCACATCTTTCTTCGTCCTCGTCTACGTCGACGACTGGTTTTGTCCACAGCAGACAGGACCGTTCTGGCTGACGTAAAGTCCGAACTGCAGAAGAGACACACGTGCACTGACCTAGGTGAGCTGCGCCGCTACCTTGGCTTACAGTTCACCAGGGACAGAGCCGCTTCTTCCATTACAATCTTGCAGTCACACATGGTACAGCAGGTTCTTTAGCAGTTCAGGCTTCAGGAATCCACCACACAGCCGACTCCTCTTGCCGTTGACGACAGATCCACCGGCCCTTTTCCCGACGAGCCCTTTGAGCCTAGTGGTCCCTACATAGAGCTTGTGGGCTGCCTCATGTACCTGATGAGTTGTACTTGTTCGGACCTCGCCTTTCCCCTCAGTGTCCTCTCTCGCTTTGCCGCGACTGGGAGACACCGTCCTGTTCACTGGATAGTTGCTGAGAGGGTAACAAAGTACCTGGTGACTACATTTGGCATGGGGCTTGTGCTTGGAGGAAGACAGTCAGTTCTTCTGACCGGTCACTCTGACTCTTCCTACGCCGACGATGTAGAGACACAGAGGTTCACTCAGGAGTACTGCTTCAGTTCGGGCGCTGGAGTTATGTTATGGAGGTCTACGCGGTCGTCGTCTGTGGCTTCATCCAATACACAGGCTGAGATCTACGCTGGTGCCATGGCTGCGCAGGAGCTTCGCTGGTTGACCTTCTTGCTCACCGACCTTGGTGAGTGGCCTCGCTCTGCACTGACCTTTTTTGCTGACAACAAGGCCATGATCCTCCTGTGTCGAGAGCATCGGCTGAAGAGCAGACGGAAGCACATTGATGTGATGTACTTTTTCCTGCGAGAGTTGCGGCAACCAGGGTTGACGTTTCAAAAAAAACTCCTCTGTGGTTGTAGGCAATTTTTTTGTCTGATCTGAAGCACATTTTCACCAACTTGGTGAGTCTGATTTCTCAAGATTCGCAAGTTGTTAAGTCTGAAAGGGGTCATTTTCCAAAATCCAAGATCAGACTAAAATTTATCTAAATTAAAATGTCCTGGGAATAGTCATTTGAGTCTGTGACCCTGTCACAAGTAGGATTCGTTCTATTCTACCAACCTACCTACCATTTCATCGGTCAGTAGGAGTTTTAAGCTACCTAGCTACCATCAAATCCTACATACTCTGAATCTCAGGCTGATCCATGGCTATCTCCTCTACATTCTCTCCCTCATACTCCTCGCGGAAAGGGTCGTCCTCCTGAGCCTGGTCCTCATGATACGCCTCCTTGTCGTAGTCCTCATCTGACTCCTCACGATCCCATTCCAACCTGCGCACTACCCTCTCCCGTTCCTGGTCCTCCGCCAGCTCCTTCCCCTTGCGCTTCCTCTCTGCTGTAGTGAAGACTGGAGACTTGGCAGGGAGCCTGGGCTTCTCACGCCATTTGGCGAGGGCCTCAGACCAGTCGATCTCGTAGTCAAGCAGAGAAATCGCCATCAGCTCCGCCAGGCGCGCGTTGCCCAGCGAGCCTCTCACCCGGGACTTGATGACGTTCTGGCGCGAGAATCCACGTTCGCACTCAACGGTTGACAGCGCCATCACGGCTGTTGCTTGCCACATCCGCATGATGTTGGGCCAGCGCTTGAAAATCTGACCCACAAGTACAAACATACACATCAGCGGAATGGTACAACTGCGTGTGAGAAGCACGACTAAACATTACACATCCAGTCACATACCTGGTGGACTCAGCCACACCCATGAATTTTTTAGCCCTTGAAAAAACCCTTCGTCCTCATGGTGTGCCTCCATGATACGAGCCCATGAGGCAAGCTCCTTCTCGGTTGCTCGCATGTCGAAGCCAGGCAGCTTGTTGTCGAAGATAGCATCGCATTCATGCAGGTACTCCCGCGTCTTGCACTCGCGCTGCTGCCGCGGCTTGGGCCACTTTGCCAATCTTCGTAGATCTGAAAGGCGGAATTTCAGCCGGTTGACACACTCTTGTGCGAACTTCGTGCACATCTTCTCACACTCCCTGTATGTACTGCCGTAAACGTGCCCGTCAATCTTCCTCTCGTGTAGCTTGTACACATGCGTCAATGGCTGACCTTCGGTCTCGACTCCGCGCACCCTCACCCTCTTTGCAGCACCCCTCCCTTGCAATGTCAGGAAATCCGACAGTGCCGTGCTTTCTTCGCCTTCCATCAAGTCCTCGCACTCCAGGTAGCGCCGCCGCAGGTCCCCGGTGGCCTCGTCAATGTCCTTGGCGATCTTGGTTATGTCGACCTGAAAGGGATGACAAGGTGTGCAACACAAGTTAGTGACGGTTCAGTATAGACACGGTATGTCAACAATGACAGCAATGAGGCCATCCTTACCTCGCGCTTCTTGAACTTTGCGTTGAGCTTGTTCATGATGCTAAGCACATCGGCAAGAAAGAAGAGGCAGAATTGAAACGTGTACGATGTGACAGTTTCGTACAACTTGTGATTGCTCTTATGCAAGAGCACGATCAATGCGCCGAGGACCTTGCAAAAACGACGAACAGCCACACCACGAGACAACCACCTGATAGCGTGGATGCATTGAACTTCAAAGTTAGTGTTGTGAATCATTCGCTGCAGGTACTGAACTGGCTGACGTTACTGGAGTTCGACAGTATAGAAGCCACAGTCCGAATCACTTTGTCAATCATGTCCAGGTCTGGGCATGCAAGGGCTGCGTCTTTGACCGCTAACGCTTCCCCGCACACAAAATCCAAAACAGGGAATCGGTTAGAAACATGTACCGGTATATGTGAATGGGCAATTATTGAGCAAAACCAGAAACCAACGGACCTGTGCGCGATACAATGTGAGGAGATCAGGTGTGGGATGCACTCTCTAAGACGGGTGACCAGGCCGTTGTCACACCCTAACATCACCGAGGCGCCGTGTGTGCTGATAGCGCAGATGCGGTTGGTGTCCACTCCAACGATCTGCAAATGACCCATGATGACCGAGAGCAGGGATGCCGCGTCACACTTCTCAACAGGTAGGTGAGCAAAGAACGCTGTCACAGGACGGTGGAAGCGAAGGAACGTCAAGTAAAGGATGAAGTGTTTCCCTCGCGTATCCGTGCTCTCGTCGCAGCTGATGCCCAAATACGGAGAGCGTTGGATATGTTGCAGCTCGGTTGAGAGCAGCAGAGCTGAGAGGCAATGCACCATCTCTTGGAACCTGTACCTGTAAATAAACATACCAGAACAGAAGCGTTAGCATGAGTACATATATGTAAGCGATTCACTCTTAGGCACAAGTAGTACTCACCGGGTAAGATAAACGCCGTATGCTTGCCTTGGAATGTCTGGCGTGTCCTGCTCAGACATGAAACGCAGCAAGCGGCTGAACATCAACCTTACAGAAATCGGCGCATCGACCTTACAGATGAACTCTGTGGCATGCAGGAGTCGTATCACCCTCCGTCCCTCGAAGTGAAGTCGTCAATATTCTTCTGCTTGCCGTCCAGCGACTCTTCAATCTCCATCTGCCGTTCCATGGCCTCTTTGTGGACGTTAGAGTGTTCGTGAATCCTCATCGTTTGCGTTTGTAAGTCGCGCGCACCGTCGTCAAGGCCTGAATTTTTTGTGGTTTCCTTGCCAAAGGCACAGCAGATGCAACACTTGAGCGAGGGATGCCCATCTTTCGCGTGCACAAGAAGAAGCCACGGGAAATACGGAAGCCACTTCGACTTATGATTCGCTTCCGCCAACAGCCACTTTTGCTCAATCTCCTCCTTCTTATACAACTTCGGAGGCGGTGGCTCGTCGGGCGTGGAGATAGTCGGCGCTGGAGGGGGTGGAGAAGGTTTGCGGAATCTACCGCCCATAACCATTGTGCTCTGAACCCATCTCTGGGTACTCTGATTCTTCGCAACTGATTTGGTGACGGACTGCGCGCTGTAATGAACGGTTGATGCAGTGAAAACGATGCGTGGGATGGGGCCTTTACTGGAGGACGCTATGGCGGGTGCTAGGACTATTGGAGTTGGCGAAGGTGCGGCAGGCGTGGTGGCAGGAACTGACTCGCGTATGACTGCCGTAGCTGCGGGGCGTAAGCAGTCTAGCCCCGACCTACCCACAACCTCCTTGGTGTTGTCCGCATCAGAGGACTCTGGACGGTCGCATTCTTGGTCCGTCATGACCGCAGTCACAAGGGCACAAACTGGAACACCGCTGGGAGAGCCAGCCGAGAAACCCTACTCATCGTGGTGAAGGGAGCCTTGAAGACGAAGGACCCCATGGTCCCTAACCCAATTGATGGATGGCTAGCTGTTGTCGGTGGTATCGAGCCGCCATGCCCGTCACCCGTCAATTGCTGTACCGTGCAGGACACAGCGCGTAGTGATGGTCTGCCATCACGGTGAAGTTCACCGCTGACACAGCATGGCAGCAGCATCACAGTTGCCACGTTTACGGCACAGGGCGCTAAACTGGGGGCACTGACCAGAAAATGGGTGGCAAATCTGCCAAGTATAGATTTTGCATGTGACAGCGAGGTGTTTCTTATGATGGCACGGCAATATGTGATGCTGCGGAAACTTCCTAGTACATACATATCCGCATTTCAGGATTCGTACGCTTCTTAGTCTGAAGACCCATTATTGGCATAGCCAAAACTCTAAAGTGCTCAGAATTGGAAATTTACCAAGTCTGAAAATTCAGGAATCCGTGGAAAATAGTATGTAATTTTAGACAATCAGACCATTTTAGTCTGATAAAATCAGCCCTGGCAGCGACGCGGCAAGGCACGCTTGGACTTTGTGGCCTCAGAGGCCAACACTGCCGACGTCTGCACCAAGTCCTTGGCGCCTGGTGACCACCACAGATTCTATGTGCAGTTAGGACTTGTTGAGGCAGGCCTTCGGTTGCTGTAGCTTTGTCTCTTACTTGCTGTAGTGTTGTACTTGCATTTATATATTCTTGTGACCTCTGAGAACTGGCCTTGTGGCCCCTTGTTTGTGCTCGGACTGCGTGGTGATCTTGAGATCCATCCACCAAAAGCTTTGTGTTTCTTGTCTTGACTTGTCTTGTGACCATTTGCTGTCACTTGTTCGTTTCCTTGATGCACCTCACTTAGTCCATGGGGTTGTGTCAAAGTGTAATAACAACGTTAGGCTGTAGTGAGGTGCCTTTTATGGGGTACAGCTATCAGGTTTCCACATTTGTACCCCATTCACTTTCTAGTTCACCCATTCCGATGCTTCTACTTCTGAGAAGAGAATGCATTTTTGCCGGTTCATAGGCTTTGTCCCTCACCCAGCTCCTGCTTCTCCCTTTTTCCCAGCCCTAAATGTGCTACTTAGGTGAAGGGGATCGGAAAAAGGGGAGCAAGAAATCAACCAGGCATTGCACTATATCTGCATTCCGCATTCATGTCTCGTGAGATTGTTCCTATTGATACTTGCATTTGGTTCTGAGCTAACGAATTTTCGTAGAAAAGCGGAGAGCTTGTTAGCGCTTACATGGCTTTGATATTGTCCTCCCCTGCCGCATTCAACACTGCCTGCCAGACCACTTTGCCATACCTCTTCTTGAAGCTTGGTCATAGTCCCAATCCACGTGTTTATCATCCCGCAGTTCTATAGGCCTGGGCGCTAGGTTCGGGGGTCCGTACCTCGTGTGCCAAGACTTCATTGGCTTACGAACCTGATATGTTTCCCGCATCCTTGATATTCTTGTGCTGCTTGGTACTCCCGATTGCGGCAGAAACTCGAGCATTACGCGCTTCCAAATGACCCCGCCCCGCTCGCACATAAAGCACAGGTGTTGCACGCTGAATCGGCGCTAGTAAAACGGACACTCGCGCGACACCCCGATGCCCCCAAGGCAAGGCGACGATGTCGCCATGGGTTCCGATCGTTGCAAGCCCTCGCAGTTGCGAGTTGCCCAGAGCGACAATCTGCGAGTTCCCCTGCTTGCCTCGCTCTTCCTGCCACCCTCCCACCACTGCCTGTATCACATCGCATTCTGTTGCTCGCTCGTTCTCCCTCGCTACTCTCCCGAAGCTCATCAAATTCGCTGCCCTTATTGGAAACAATAGAAGTGGACCTTGAAGTTTCCTTCATTCATCAGTCTCGACTGAAAGCTACTTGCTCTCCTACACTGTCCTCGAGTTCCTGCTGGCTTTTGCACTCCTCGATACCAACTGTCTAATCCTGCTCCAGTGCTAAATACCAGGTGTCTAGCCTCTCGCTGATCCATACACATCGGTTTCTACGCCGAAGCAAGTCCGGCCCTCCCCTTCTCCGCCAACGAAACGGACTGCGTTGGTGTTGAGAGTGCCTGCGTGGACGTCGACGCTCTGTTCGCGAGCTGCTGGGAGCAAAATGACTCCTTCACTCGCTTCGTCTACAGCATGATAGCAGCTCCACGCCTTGTAAGAACCACTTCCTCCAAGCCATTCGCTTCAATTCTCGCAAGCTCACGTCTTTGTCGAGGAGAAAAGGCCCCGCCCTTGCTTGGGCGAAGTCGGCCATGCTTTTCGGAGCACAACGGTGTTCGTTTCGTGGTCATCGGCGACTTCAGGGACTTTTATCTCTGAACGACGGGTCGATTTTTGACGAGATTAATTTGTCGAAATTGAAGTGTTGTTTCTGCTCTACGCAACTGCCCCTCGACGAGGCACTTGTCGAGGGGAGCAAAACGGCGTCGAAATCGAGCCTTGCGGGTCGACGAAATGGTAGAAAACAGCGTTTCGACGAAGCGTTGGTCGACAGAATTAAGCTCGAAACAGGCACCGTCGAGCAGAGCGTTTCTGGTCGACAAAATCACTTGTCTCCAAATTTTGCAATGTGCGCGAATTTCGACCAATCGCGAAACAGCAAATTTCGACCAATCAGAGCATTTCGGAAATTGTACTCCCCAGGAGATTTCGAATCAGTAAGGAAACTGAACCTGAAACACGTTTTTACTAACAGTAAAAACGTAAACAAATCTGAACGTTGGAAACCTGAGAAGCTGCCTACTCAGGGGAAAGACACATATGCTTGTCGTTTCACCTGGCGTTGCTGACTCGGAAAGGTCGAGCGTTCGTCGAGGAACGTTTCTCCAGGGTTCATTGTGCTTGCTATTTGGGATCTCTTTCCTTGTACCATAATCTTGTTCTATCAATTCTTCCTTAGTGAAACTATGCTCGAATTCTACTAAGTCCTTCAAACACTGTGTCCAGAATCACTGCCAGAACTCTTACCGTGCGTCACACGCAATTCAGTTCTCCCTTAGAATAGAATTCTCCGCATGGTGCGGTGAGCGTGGAGGACCGACCGGGGTTCGATTCCTGCTGTTGGCGACTTCCTGTGCCCTAGTGGTGGGCCCTCCCAGTGAGGGGAGTGTTGGAAGTGGACACTGGAATGACCCGAAGTGGTCTCCCTAAGG